TATGTATGTGACCAAAATAATAAATATAATGTGGCGCCATCTAGTGAATGGCATCACAAACACAATTATACTGGATACTGTAAAACAAAGTACAACAATTTCGAATTCAATGACGAGGAACCCACTTTGAGACTAATAATGCTTGGAGACAGCTTGAATGGGTAATGAAGAAAACTTTAATACAAGTTTAACATAACAGCAAATGTACAACGTTTCAACAAGGTTTTGTTATCATCATGTACTGTCTCCAATCATTAAAAGTACAACAATGGCAAGTGGTTTCACAACACTAAGAATATACATCATTTTATCTATGACACAAACTTAGCTATTCAGGTTTCAATACAAAAAATAACAAAGCTATATACAACAAGTTAGTCTTGAAGTACAAACTTACCCTTTTTTTCTTCTTTTTTACACAATAAACTTTCTTTAGAGAATTACAATTTCTATATTTCATTTTTCCAAACCATATTTATTTCTAATTTTAATATTTCCAGCATTTAACTATTACTCAAAATATAATTCTACAGGGTGTCCACAAGTCAGTTATCATTGTTACATTGACAAAATTAACATTACTTTGTTTCTTTACATATTTAAAAAATATTGTGCAAGTTACCTGGACTGGACATTTTTTAACACTGTATTGATTTTGAGATTAGATATTTTAAGCATATTCCTTAGTTGTGTATAGACAATCATCTTATTCCAAACAACTTTTGGGAAACTGTACACTGTTCGTTATCAGTATCACAGAACACTAGATGGCACTGTTGATACTCTACAGAATTATCACTCACAGTTTGATCTCATTTCTTTTTTAACACAAAACAAAGTTTATGAAAAGATAGGATAAACTAAGAATATATATATACTTGCATACATACATATATTTTGTGCATTTTAGTAAAAAAAAGTTTAGGGCAGGAAGTAAGTGTTATAAAATTAATTCCCAGAAGTTACAATTGAAAGTGATGAAGAATGTATAACAATGTCAACCACACTATATCTGCTATATCCAGGGCTATCCATTTGTCCACTACCAAACCTCATCAGGCCTGCTAAGATATGACAGACATAATACTGGTTAATAAGGTTGCTTAACAAATATTAAATCTTGAAAAACAGTATTGTATTAATATTAAAAAATAGAAAACAATGTCTCCAACAGGAATATAACAAGACAGTTTCTAAAATCCAAAAACTGTATAAGAACAAGTACAAAAACTTCAAAGTCAAGGGAAATGAAATATGCAACTATTAAAAAATGAAAAAACAAACATCTCTGCAAATAAAACCATTGGAATGATAAAATACATGGTAATGTTTTGTGGACTAATACTAAATAAAATATTCAAAAAAACTTCCCAAAACAATGATGCAAAATAGTTTTTTTTTAAACTGACAGTTAAAAATGAAGTTAGATTTACAATAAGAGTTTTAGTTTACAAACACTCACTGTGCCAACCTAATGGTTTTATTATGATGAATCAAGATTTGTATTCTGACAATAATGTTTATGTCATTGTGAGTCAGTTCCAGTATATTTGAAAGTAGAGTTTACTTACTGGTTTGTTTGTCCATGTATATTACTGGTGGGAATTGGTTACAAAGTTATTGGTAGCATGCAGCTTTAATTAAATAGTTGTATATAGTTAATAATTTTGATTAATCTTATTAAAAGTTTTTCTTACTTATGGAGCATTTTCTTAATTTGCCTGACTTTCTCCATTCACCATGATGGTACTATAATTAGGTTTCTATAATCTTGATTATGCATTAAAATAGTCACTATGTAGCCAATCATAGGAACTTACTCATAAGGCAGCAAATGTGTTCGTTTTTTTGTTGAATTTCACTCAAAACTACTTGAGAGATATCCGTGTTAACTGACCCCAGTTTTGAACTGATAGACTAGAGGGAAAGCAGCTAGTCAGCACCGACTATTGACAACTTTTAGGTCACTTTACTGACAAATAGTAGGACTGGCTTTCACATTAGGACACTCTCACAAGTGAAAGGGAGAGCATATTTCGGTTCAAGGTTCAATCCCAGGAATTGCAGATTTTGAGTCAAGCACCCTAATAACTAG